CACACACACACACACACACCTACCTCTGGGATTTCATAAACCCATCCAACCATCAGCAAGATAAGTTTGTCACTATCTAGAATTCAGTTATAGAAATTAACTAAGTGCATTTACTTAAGCTCCTTTCAGCTTTATGGAGCTTTATATTGAGTTTCAGGTTACTGCTTTGGTTCACTCTAGTGAATAGAGGAGCACTTAGCAGCCACAGAACCAGATACACCCACAGAATATTGGACTTAACATTCATCAGGTGACTTTTTTGTCATTGTAATTACAACAAAATGTTGTTTGGTGTCTCTCAGAGATTAGTAGCAATAAAAACTAGGACAAAAAGACACAGGATAATAAAATGAAAATAAGTTCATTCTCAATAAATAAACAAACAGTGGCAGAACAAAGACAATACACTACAAAACGTCCATGTTGCCCAAAGTTCAAATATTTAAAATCATAGATAGTTTATATATTGTAAGTTGATCTTTAGCTATGGGAGGATATGTACTTTGATGGCTCTAAAACATTTTCCTGGTAGCAAGGGAACAAAGAGAAGTAGAAACACAACTCCAAGTGAATGATTATCTTGCCCTGTGTCTAACTGATGTGTAAATAAACAACTGTTTTCCATATTAACTTAACAGACATAATTCAGTTCAGTTTTATTTATATAGCCAAATCAATCTCTGGGGTAGACAGTCTCTATGGGGTACTGGGAGTTCTGGGTGGGTCGCAGCTAGAGAGCATCTGACATTTATTACAAGTACCATTATCGCTAAAGAGGCAGAAGAATAAGTGAACACGCGACAATTCGAGCAAGAGAAAGAAGGAGGGTAAGGAGGGGAAGAAGGGGAAGAAGGGGAAGCCATTGCTCCCAACTAAAGCTACTAGCTTAGCTAGCTCCTAAGCAAGCCGGCCTAAAGTAGCAAGTTAAATTTGGAAATTAGCAAGAAATTCTGTAACACAGGTGCTTAAGTAGTGCAGGCGTATGTTGAGACTCAAAAAGTTAGCTGATGTTCAGATAAACCTAGCAATTAGCGAGCTTAATCCGTAAACAATCTGGTAGCGAGCACAACTCTGTCCAGGTACAGTAAACAGGAAGTGGATACTATTACCTCAGTAAAGCTTCTCTTGTTCAGTGGTCATACTGAACGTCATATGTCACATTATGTGTTCACAGTTTGTTTCCATCGCCCCCAAGTGGACAAAAATCAGTTATTGCAGGTTTAAATGACAATTTGTTTTCCTTCACCACTGCTGATGAAGAGGCTGTTTTTTCCTTGTTTTACAGAAGCCTGTTGGGCGGTGGGTTTGACAGGAATGATGATGTCATATCTTCAGCCATACCTGGCTCTGATTTACTCTCTAGCCAAGGTACATTATTAAGGCAAACATACGAGCACACACATTTTGACTTGGATTACAGTAAACCATGAAGTTCTCTGCTCTCCTGTCAGACTTGGAGCCTCAAAGAGGGATGGATCGTTATCTGGACAGCCTGTTTGACCCTGTACTGTCTGAAGCAACCGGAGTAAGTCACATAATTCATTCCCACTGAAACATTTAACCAAACAAGAGGGGATTGCACTGTCTACCATTTACTGCAGGATGGACCATATAAACGTCTGTGGAGCTCTATTTAGCATGTAGTGAACCTCCATCATAAAGAGGGTAAGCCTTTTTAATGCATCCACTGCCCAGTCAAATATTTTCATTAATACTTTTATTGAACCTTTTTGGCATTGATAGAAGAAAATTAATAATATATAAGTTGAAAAGAAGAAGAAGGAAAAAACAACAAACATACTAATAATATGGCGCCAGAGTTCTTTTGGTGACTAATAGTCACCATTACATGACCAAACATATTAAGTCTCTGGGCCTTCTCACTGTCGCATACTCCAAATAGAGGTTGTCACAGTATTAAGATTAAAAGGTGTCACAGTAAGGTTTGTCTCACAGAGATGAGGAGAAATAAATACATATTACATTAAAGTATTAGTTAAACTCTCAGCTCTATTTTGAGTAGATTTACATCAATATAGAAAGAACTGTCTCAGTCTGGACTGTCTGCTCATTCATGATGCATTACCTCCACCATAAACATTATACTTCACCACTGTTGTGAAAGTTATAGCTGTAGTAGTACTGTATCTGGTGATTGTTGGTTGAGTTAAAATCTTATTTAAGTATTTAGTCAGGGGACTGGTGCAGTGAATGCTGGCCATGCTGGATCTATCCGTCTTCAGATGGGATGGTGGTGTGGTGAATGTTAGACGTGCTATCGGATGTGGCTGACAGGAATTAGCATGTATCAGATGTGTTCTACAGACCTCTCCCGCCCAGCAACCTATTACATTACCCAGTTACGGTAACTGTCAGAGCTGCTAGATCATGGATCTGCTTACGGGAAATTGACACTCTGGCAAATGAAAGGCTTACTATTTAATGAGACATGGGCTACAGACACACGCTCCTGTGGATTTATGGGTCAGTGGCTGATTTCTGATGGAACGACTGCACATTCAAGCAAGGGAATCCTCTGATCCGACAGTCAAAATTCCTGCCACTGCACAAATATTAACATTTTTTAATCTCCCTGTAAGAAACTTTGGAGCACAAATGCATTAATTAAATGAATACTATGCTCAAAATCTTTTAAGTATCAAATATCTCCTGGCTGTATGCTTAAAAGGAAACTGAAAAGTTTGTAGTTGCTCATTCATGGAGCACAGCAGCTACAGGGACATTAAATTCACAGCTATTACAGTGGATTTCAGTGTGGACTTGGAGTCATGATAAAAAAGTTTTCAAACATTCAGAGAAAGTTTTCCAAACTATTTCAGTGATATGCTATTGATCTGTATATTCAGTGTCTTTAAAACACATTTCCACAATTTACAGTAAATACACTACTATTATAGTACACTGTTGTCTCCTCATTGCTCCTCAAGAGCCAAGACTAGTATATTTAGCATTCTGAACATACAGGCCAACAGCAGAGTTGTTTTACAAGATTCCTGTGGACTTTTGATACATTTTTACCAGGACTTTGATTTTGCCATTAGAATCAGCTGAGAATGCTGTAATAATCCCAAGATGAAGACAATATTGCAGTCCTCTGCCAACGAACATGCGAGACATGTTTAGGAACTCAGGCAGGGTGTTGGAAATAGTGCTAATATGATAACAGGTCTTAAATGATGTGACAACTGGGAACCACCTTTTTTTTTTAATCAAGATCATGTTTTTTTATTTAAGAGAAGAAGCCATATTTGCAGCCAAATAAAACAGCCTTACCTAGTCTTAAATTGGCACTGTTTTAAATTTAAATGGGTAACTATTGATCAGACATTTGGTGCTAGCTTGACAGTTTTTAATACACACTTCCATCACTACAAAAGCACCATACAGGTTTAACATAAAGCCCCATTTAGAGTAATCTTTCCATGCATACCTGATGAATACTGATGAGCTCAAAAGACAGCTTTTCAGTGCAGTATTCCTTTAACTGCATTCATTTCATTCATTCTATGTTGTGACCAGATTTTGAAGTCTATCTGTCTCTCCTCACAGGAAGTAGAATCAGCTGCAGGACTGTCTGGCAGGATGAAGGGGGCTGGAGGAGTTAGAGGGGGCTGGGACCAGGAAGGGCAGTCCACCCGCCCCCCACCTCCACCTGGAGGTCAGTCACAACATAGACACACACTCACACACATGCTAAGTAATCACAATGGAAGTATCTCACTACTGAAAGATCTTAAGCAAGTGAAATAAAGCATGGAAGATTTGTTGTGTGTGTTTGTGTGTTTACAGCTGTGAGAGTCCTTCCTGTGGGAGGTGTGATGTTGTCTCCTGTTGCTGCGGTGGCACCTATAACACCTGGTCTGTATCAAGTGTGAAGAGAAATATGAGAAAAAAACTCATCAGACATAATTTTCCATTCCTCCATCCTGTTTACTGTTTCTTCTTCTCTCTCCTCCAGATGCCCAACAGGCTGTTTTGGCCCAGAGGCAGCAGGCGACCGTAAACCACGAGGCCCCAGTGGTACATCCTCCGTCTGTTTATCTGTTTCACCGCTCTTGTTTTGGATCTAATGCGTCATTTTCTTGGATTTCAGGTCCAGCAGACGACCGCACAGGCCGCAGCCATGGTCAGCAGCCCGGTGACAAGCCCCCCCACCTCCCCGATCACAAGCCCTCCTATGAGCCCCACGCTTCATCAGCCTCCCAGACCCTATGCTGGCATACCTCCAAGTCCGTATGCAAACATCCCACCCAGCCCCTATGCTAACTTCACTCCCACTTCCTACACAGCGGCGGACATCCCGCCTAGCCCCTATCCAGACACTGCTCAACAAGAACAAACTCCATCTCAGCCTCCAGCTGAGCCCCAGTCTCAGCCTCAAGCTCACCCCCAGGTCCCCGGCCCTGACGCCAAACCTCAGCCGAGTTCCTCTAAATCTAACAAAACTGGGCCAGGACAGCCTGCAGCTAACCCTGCTGCACAGGTGAGATATGGGAGATAACGGTCCAAACCAGTAAGTCACATAATGACCCAGCACCGCTGTGTTTATGAAAGATGTACAGTTGTTGTTGTCATTGTAAACTTCAGACAACACGCACATCTTACCCAGAAAATATGATGTGCACAAAACAAGATGCCGTCTCCCTTTTGTGTTAAGAATAAAGGGGTTATTTGAAATACAAAGAACTGTGCATTAAGGATAATGAGCAGTAGTTGGCTGAACAAAAAAGAGCAACACCTACATAAAATGAATCAACACAAGATCTAAAATAGAAAATATGTTAATTTCTCTGACTAATCATTCGGGGGACAGCAGGTGTAGCTGAAAGTGAAACAAAAATACCAAATCAGAAGTGAAACAGGTTTGAGGGTGACGCAGATGTAGCTCCTACAGCTGTTACTGACTCTGGTGCAGCTTTTCTTGTGTTCTGACATCTTAGACACCATGACTCAGTGTCTGAAATTTATAATAATAAATCTCTGGTGATATAATTGCTTTGATGTTTTGATACACAGTCTCGTTAGTTAGGTACATTTTAGTTTAGCTACTTTTAATTCGTCCAGCTTCAGCATTAGGATTGCAATTCAGTCCAATATTAAATGAATGTATCCACTGAACTTTACAAAAACATTAAAATTCTTGCATCAATGATGCTGACAATATAGAAATAATTGTGCACAAATAGCAGATTATGATCATCAAGTTTTTTTCCCATATTGCAGCTACCTGTAAGTAAGGAACTCCTGCATTTATATAGCTATGTGTCCTTTCTCTTTGCTTTTCTTTGACCTTTAAGTTAACATATAATGTCTGCAAAACCCAGAGTGCAAGTTCTCTGTCCTCTATGTGGCTTTTTCAGGTTCAGTCAGGTAAGGACAGCGTTTCTCGGAGGAAGGCTCCAGGCATCCCCATAAACAAGGACAAACCAGCCAAGAAGTTTGGTAAGAGAGCGAGAAAAGCAAGAGGCAGAAAGTCCCTTCAACTAAAATTCTTATTTAAGAGCTTTACATCAGAGACAATACCTTCCTGTGGTACTTTGTGCTTGTGTGCTATAGCCCCAGTAGTTACGTCTCCTCCGCCCCCTGCTGGAGAGGTGGTGAAGTACTCAGAACGGACTCCAGATCATATGGTCCCCAGCCAAAATGTCCAAGGTTTCTGAATTTAAAAGCTTAAAAATGTTGATGTCATGACCTACTCAACAGCTTTTAGTGGCACTGATTTCTAACTGACACACTGAGTTAGTATTTAGATTTAAAACTGTGATTGAAAAGATAATGTGTAATCTATTTGATGCTCACGTAATTTTATATATTTTAAAGAAATCATCAAAAGGTACAACACTCCACCTCCAGCCCCAGAGCCACTGTCACCGGGCAAAAGGTGAGGTCACGCAAATACACAAGACTGATTGGAGTAGAGAAATTAGCACAGTAATCATAGTTTCTCTTATAGACCTACAGTAAATTGATGGAGCTTTCCTTCTATGTAAATACAGCACAGCAGTTCAGTCACAGAATTAACTCTGATGTTGACACTGTATGGGTGTATTTAGGAGACCAGAGGGTAAGTTTAAAAAGAAGCAGACCCCTCGTGATGAAGCTTTACAGATCCTCAAACCCCAGATGGACAATCCTCCTGCTCCACAGGTAAACACGAAGATACACACACGTACTTGAGATTGCCTGAATACACAGTCACAGATGAACATGGGCGTACACATTGCACATGCAAGGTTTGAAAGTGATAAGACTGACAGGTGAGCATGTAAGAAAATGTTTTTATGCCTCTACAGCCCAAACGTCCTGTTGCTCCCACACCTCCTGCACCTGCAGTGAAAGAAGAGGGTGTTAAACCCACCAAGAGTACAAAGACAAGAGCTCCTGTTCGTCCCCTCCCCATACCTCCTCCAGGTACTCACATGCACTCAGAGTGTGTGCTCCTCTTTATATTGTATTGGCAGTCTTTTTTAGTAGCACTCTCTCTCACAACAAAACACTGTGTAAATAGGTTGAATGCATCTTCAACATTTGGTGTTTCTCAGTTTTTTCTAGCGTGTTTATATTTTGCCAAGTTGGTGACATTAAACCAAATTAGGTGCAGGTCCTGTTTCTGACGTACCCATGAAATATACTGGTGCAGAAAACAAGTGTGTTTCTGGACATTGAATTGCAATGGACATCAAGTATATCAATATTGTAAGAAAGCGTAAGTGACACTGAATCTAAAATAATGTGTATTATGGCTGTGACTAGAGACCTTAAGATAGAAGAGTTGCAACACTGAGGGTCAAAAACAGTAGCGGGGCACTTTACTCAAATAGTTCCAAACAGTCATTCAGAGTCATTGTTCTCTGTAGGGAACACCAGGATTTATCAACAAATTACTACTTTTAATGACTTGTACAAGCTTGCAACCTAATTTTGTGTTCTGTTGTTGTAGATAGCACAGCTAATTTAGCTAGCTAGCTAGCTATATAATTATTAAAGTGACCCAATATTAGAGGGAGACAGACAAAAAGGTTGTAAAACATGTAGAAATGTGTATAATTATTGCTATTGATTTCAGCTTCTTACTTGTGTTACGGTCACTGCTGCTGACTGTCGGTAAAGGGGCCTCATCGGCGGGCAAACTACAACAACTAACACCTCACTGCTTTAAGAACACCACGCCCACATTCTGTTGTCCACATCCCCCTGGGGACAGTCTGAAATGCTCTGCTCTGGAGCAGCAGTAGAGCAAAGCTGTGAAAAGCCTTGTCTTAGAGCAAGACACCAGATGAACATTTAACATGCTCAATTAATAAAGCTTTGTCTAAGTAACTGTGTTCACCAGAACAAAACTGAAAATAAGATGTTTTGTATTTGATACAGTGTCTCGAGAGCTCCCAGTGGAGACGGAGAACATCCTGACACAGCTTCATCAGAGTGTCAACGAAGAGTACTACACCTACACCAATGTTCCCTGGAGGTTGTACCTCAGGAAGGAGGTGTGTACATATATAAATACACCAACATATCACAAACATTATAACCCAGTGTCCAAATGTTTCTATTCTACTGTGAGTGTTTTGTCTTTCTTTTACAGGTTTTCTATCCCAAAGACAACTTCAACAGTCCCCTGGTGCTAGACCTCATCTTCAAACAGGTAACATTGGAGATAGTTCCACTGATGTAAGATGAATGGCTGGATAGATGTAATATCAGCAAATAAATGAGTTTGTTTGGTCCATGCTGTTGTTTAAAAATGAATGCATGTGTTGATTCATTCACACACACACACCCCCCCTGTGCTGCATATTTTTATCTGACGATAGAAAAATTATAGAAAGATCAAACAAAACTTTACTTAATGCTGCCTCTCTCTTCCTCTGTTGTCTTCCTTAGATAGTGAATGACACTCTGTCAGAGGCGTGTGTTCGCATCACACAGGATGAAAGGCAGAGAATGAAAGCTCTTTTTGGTAGCCTTATTGTTGTTCCTGGACACATTCTTTAAACCGTATGCTCTAATCCAAACACAGCTCTTTGCTGATCACAGGTTCATGTGTTTGTTTTTACAACAGCTAAACATGGGGTTAAACAGAATATGGATCCAGTGGAGGAGCACGTGAAGAAAACCATTGTCACAGCAGCCAAGGAAACCTGGGAAATATACTTCTCCCGACTGTTCCCTGCCTCGGTGAGGGGAGTGAACCCTTAGAGCAAAAGAATTACTAAGTGTGTTGTCATTTTTCATTACTTTCATTTTTAAACCTCTCTACTGTATGTGTGTATATGTTTGTTTTGTGTGTGTGTGCAGGGTAGTGTAGGAACAGGTGTCCAGGTGGTGTCCATATCCCACAGCGGTATTAAGCTGTTGAAGACTGTAAAAAGCAGCGCAGCAGCTCCAGACTACTTCAGAGTCCTGCGACCATACACGTATGTGCTGTTTTCCTATTTGTCTTCCAATATGTATTAGTATTTCGTTTATCCTCCTGGGACACCAAACAGGTGTGTTTTATTAGTCTGTCAGGTCAGGTGAGTCTGAGTAAAGACATTTTTATGCGAGCTCTCTGTGCCCCAATACATCGCATGCCCCCTTTTTATTAAACACACACACACAACTATTTACATGATGGCCAAAGCCCTTTAGTCCCAGCAGAACCCTCAGTCATGGTGTCTCAGCCCAGCTGACCTGGTCCCATCTCTTATAACAGAACATGACAGGGGCAGACGGGAGCTCTGCTGGTGCCCCTCTACCCCCCAGCATGCTGCAATAGTTTGTTTATTGCTCACCTTGACAAATAATATTGCCTTTAGTATTTCTGTTAATCACAATGGATCACAGGAATTAGTTGTGTTTATCATATCTCAGGCTAAATACTGAGAAAGCCTATGTTGTTTATATGCTGTAAACTAAAACTCACTTGTACCTGCCCTGGAAAACTCTCTGTTAGCACACAGATTTGATATAGTTATAGAAAAGCTACATCAGATCATTGTTTTGATTGTGTTTCACCAGCTATGCAGACATTTTGTTTGTAACCATCCCATCTGAAAATATGCTTGAGTTCAATCTGACCAACGAGAAGCTGATACTGTTCTCAGCCAAGGCGCCACAAGTCAAACACCTCATAGACACCTTCATCAGTGAGATTAAAAAGGTAGCGCACGCACACACACCCAATTTCTGTTCAGAATTATGAATAAGAAATCTACCTCCAAGCTAACTTTTTAATGCCTAAATACACAATCACACAATAAAAACACATTGGTTCCCACTGGAAGTGTCACAGGTGTAGTTTGGGAAAAACCTTCAATACTTCAATTCACATAAATGCAGAACACTTGTAACAGTGTGAGAGTATACTTTACATTTGTGTGTGTTGTTCCATTCCTCCTTTCAGGACTCAGACTATGTAATTGCAGAGCGTAACTTCGTGACAGACAACCGCTCGATGCTCAGCTTCCACAAAGGTGACATCATCAGGCTGGAGGTTATGGACGGGCTGGAGAAAGGTGACAAAAACAAGGAAAATGGCGCACATGTAGTCAAAATCCTCTTATCTTTTGCGCAACCTATGATTCAGTTATGTGTGTGTATATGTGCGTGTTGCCCTGTGTGTCTTCTCCAGGTTACAGCTACGGCTGTGTGGTAAGAAAGAAGGTGGTGTTTTTGGAGGAGCTGAAAAGGGACACACAAGACTTTGGTAAGTGTTCACAAAATTCATTTATTTTTGCCTGATTCAAAACCAGATCTATGAGTTGTGGAAACCACATGTTGACATCATGCCCAAAAACAAACAAGGTGACAGTTCAGACTGACGGCCAACTCAGACTGTATCAGAAGATGAAACATGGTCATGCAAATTGAAAAATATTGATTCATGTCATTCCTTGAGGGCACAAAAGATGAAAAAGGATCACAGATGAGGCTAGGTCATTGTGCACCTGCTCACATATTTGTAATTCAGTGTGATGTATTTATGAAATCTGGACTTCAAAATGCCCATAAATTAAGTTCACATAGCACTGTTTTAGCCCATTTCAAAACAATGAGCTAAAAGCGGCTAAAAAGCTTCGTAGCCTGAGGGCAGCTGCAGAGCTGTGTCAAGCCACACTTTTCTAATACATGTAGTCATTTGATGCATTAATGCGAATATATTGATTAGTGTAGCTTTAATTTTAGCAATATGGAGAGATAAACTATAGGGAGGTTAGGACAAGGGTTTTGGAATGCATTCACAGTTACCCTTCAGGGAATTAAGCAAATCAATACAGTATCCTTAAGAAATATAGGCCAAAGGCTACAGTATATAATGTGCCATGTTATCAGCATAGCCATGGAGGAGAGACGGGTCCATAAATTACCTGCTCTGAGATAAAGGGCTGACAGTGATCAGGCCTAATACAAGTGGGGAATGTTGTGTGTCTGTGTGCCAGGTTGGAAGTTTGGCGCTGTGTTTAGTCGCTCCGGAGCATTCCCAGCTGAATGTGTCCATCCCGTCGCTCCTCCTGACTTCCTGTCGCTGCCACTGGACCGCAAGTCGGAGCCTCGAGGAGGAGCGGGACAGTTTGCTGTGTCATCAGCCGTCGCTGTTGCTGTGGCGTCCACCGTGGCTGCACACGAGATAGATCAAACAATCGAAGTACACAGACACAGAGAAATAGTTTTGTTTTTTGTCAAAATGAATTAAGTGTCAGGAGGTTTTTCACTGTCACTCTTTGCCTTTTAGAAGGTTTCCCTTGATGGTTTTGCTGATGGAGATCTGGATGAGAGGGCCTTGCTGGACAGTAAATATGACATGCTGGAGTTCGCCAAGAAATACTTCAGACAGGGACCCAGTGGGAAGGGGTGAGGCGACAAAAAAACACTGATGCACACACAAGGAAATCTACAAAAACACTTACAAACCATTTTGTTGAATTCTGTTTTGGATTTGTTGTGTATTCTACTCTATTTGATTGTATGTTTACTCTCTGTAGATAGATTTAAAGTATCTTCAGTCTACATATATATATTATCTTCTTTGCTCTGTTCTTTTGGTATGTTTACTTTTTTGTGCTGCTGTGTCCCCTGGGAGATCACATCTTATTATTAGTATCATTTCCACTTTTTTCCATCCATAAAATCCCCTACATTTATATCATAAAACTAAATTAAGTAAATGAAGGTCTGTTTTGTAGTCTTGTTTTAAAAATTATTCACAAAATATTCTTCTCCAGTATTCTCTCTGTAGTGAGATTTCTGTCGTATGCTACTTTAACTCCACCTCATTACTGAGTGAAATATTTTAGTTTTTAATCCACTGCATTTACTTGACATCTTCGGTTAATAGTTGCTTTGCAGAGCTCTCATACAAAGCAAAAGCACAGATTAAACTACCCAACAGTATAAAAAATGTTTAGAACCAGCTCTGTCCAAACCAACTACACCTTAAAACTATTAATTATACGTCAATGCATCAATAAAAATGATCAAATACATTTTCCACCACTGTTTAAATTCAAAGGCTGCACTTTGTGACTGATTTTGTCCTCAGAGATTCTCTGAAGAGCAAAAGCAAGAGCAGAAGCTCCAGGGATCCCACTGAACTGATCAAATTCTCCAAGGTGCCTTTTTGCGTGCTATGACTTAAAGCATTCGCTCTTCTCATAACTGTATGTGGTTTTAAGAGTGTGTTTGGGTGTTTGAGTTGTTTAAAAGACACTTTCCCTAAATGATTTTCTCCTTTGCAGACTCCTCTGACCGAGTCTCTGATAGAGTTTACTGATCCAGCATTGAACAGAGTGGCAGCTGATCTCTTCCTGTGTAAGTTCTCACCTTCTGGCATCTCTCCTCTAATTACCTCATCTGATTACCTTCCTCTTCTTACATCTGGGCATTGATTCATGTTGCTGTATCAGACTTTAAGTACTCAACTGAATTCTCAACAGAATCTGCCATTCAAGACTTAAATATTGTTGACCCTTGTGTGTGTGTGTGTCCCCTGGTTGTGTATTTTGTGTAGCTGTGATGCGTTTCATGGGTGACTCTCCATCAAGGGGACTGACTGAACAAGAAGTGGTCAGCACTTTCCTCAAGGTAAATACACACATCATTATTTCATAGGCAATTTTCTCTTTGACAGTTTGCTAAGATGTGTGTGTCCTCCTTGCAGCTTGTAGGAGAGTTCACCTTGATGAGGGATGAGGCTTACTGCCAGCTGCTCAAACAGCTTACTGCTAACACCAGCTCTAAACCGTAAGTCTGAAAGCACACACACTACAAACCGACGCACAGTGTGCTCTTCTTTCTTCACCGGGCCATGACCCTGAAGGTATCTGTGCTGTCTTGTGTTGCACAGTGATAGTTGCCAACGAGGCTGGAGGCTGCTGTACATCCTGACTGCTTTCCATCGCTGCTCTGAGGTCCTCAAGCCCTTCGCAGTGCTGGAGCACAGTATCAAGGTAAAAACACACACAGAGGTATGGTTTTGGCTCAGGAGATAGAGCAGGGTTGGTGGTTTGGTCCCCAGCTTCTCCATTTCATGTGTTGAAGTGTGCTTGGGCAAGACACTGATCCTGTGTTGCTCCTGGTGTGTGTGAATGGGGTGAATAAGCAAATATTGCAAAGCGCTTTGAGTGTGTATTAAAGTTCTAAGTTCAAGTTCATTTACAAACACTTTCACCAAGTGTTAATCTGCTGTGCACATTACAAAAGCTACCAGCATATAATGTTTTCTTCACGAGTTAGGCATAGCCAAAGCATGTGAGCAAAACCTGAAGAAGACGTTCCAGTATGGAGGACGCATTGTTCCACCCAACAGCATGGAGCTGAAGGCGATGATGGTCAGTGGCTCCTTTTATTTACCTGCAGTAGTGAAAGAAGCATTCAGATAAATAAAACAGTGTCATCTATTACACATAAAAGGCCTTCTTTCCCTCATTTAAGTAAGAGTATTAGCAAAACAGTATTAGCAGAAAGTGTACTTTGGTATCAGAAGTAAAGGTGCTCATTATGCAGAATAGCCACATTCAGAACTACAGAATTGCACAGCATATTATGTTAGTATTATTATCATTGATATATCAAATCAAATTTTATTTGTATAGCGCCAAATCACAACAAAAGTCATCTCAGAACACTTTACAAAGTAAGGTCTAGACCTTACTGTTATCAATATTATTACATAGGGAAAACCCAACAAATCCCCCTTCAGCAAGCACTTGGCGACAGTGGGGAGGAAAAACTCATGCAGCAAATTAATGTGGTAACTGGTTGAACTGAAGCAAATTTGGATGGATAAACTAGTGAAATTCTATGTTTTTATTGTAAACAAATCTCATGAAAAGACAAAAACCAACAAAGTTGCGAGCATGTAAGAGCTATATTTGTATATGAGGGTGTAGATGTGTTAAGATCCTGAAAAAAATTGACATAATTAGACTTATCCAGTAGATTTACTGTACAGACTATATGAGTGTGTGTTTGTATTTCCTCAGGCAGGACGAAGTTCAAAACGTCAGCTGTTTCTCTTTCCTGGAGGCCTCGAACGCCACGTGAAAATCAAAACATGCTCTGTAGGTGTTCAGCTACTGTTGGTGGTTCACCAGTATGTTTGCCTGTGACGAGCTGGGTCCTCAGAGACGTGTGTTGCTGTGTTTTTCAGATTGCCCTGGAGGTGATTGAGGAGTTATGTTATGAGATGGATTTACACAGACTGGAGGCCATGGAAGAATATACCATATTTCTAGTCAGCAATAGAGGTGTGGTTATAGATGCACCAACTGTCATGCAGCACTGTCTCTGTCACATTAAACTTTACATCAGTACACAAAGTTAGTGTCCTCTTTGTTGTCAGTGAAACAGATCCACTCAGAGATCATAAATCAGACTATCCTCTGGTTTCTGGCTGTGGGACAAAGTCACTCATGTTCCTGATAGGCTCGTCATAGTAAAATAACCAGAGGTCGCTGGATGTCAGCTTTTACTTTCATAGTCTCTGCCAGCAACAATCCAAAGTACATTTTTCTCACATGTTAATGTGTATAAAAACCTGTACAATGTAAAATAGTTCAATCCTAGAGCACAATAATATGCATAGCTCCTAACATGGCACCTTACTCTTCCCTATCAGCCTAAAAGCCCAACTCTGAATCTTTATCTGGCTGTTTCAGAAGAAACTTTGTTGTATTTCTTACAACAAAGTTTGCTCCTTTTTTATTGGCTCCTGTTGCTGGTACGTCCTTCTGTTCTGCTCTTTCTGCTTTATCAAGTCTTCAGCACTGATTTCGCCCCTTAAGCGCTCACACTCAAACTCTTCGCTTTTCTCTTGTTTTCCTCCCTTAGAATTAAATATCAGCACAAGGATAACAGCTGGCAGCTGTTCACACTCGTGAGCGATTCTGTAGCACAGCAGGTCACACAACATGTGGTTGTACAAGTGTTAACATACAGTAGTTTTTCAGGGGTTGCATGTCAGTAGTTTGCTTTAGGCTGTTACTTTATAGGTCGGAGTACAGACTATCCTGAATAATAACAAATATGAACTCTTTATATAAGTAGTAAGTTCATCTTAGATAATATGCACATGTCTGTATAATAAATAACCTTCTGTTTGTATGTGTGTGTCCAGGCCAGCATGTGCGCCCTCTGAACAAGCACGAGTACATCCTGGATGTGGCAACAGAGGCCGAGATAATTGACACAAACTACAGCTTTTGGTTCAGACGAGTCATCTGGACTCAGCCGCTCAAGTTTGAAAATGAGCTCTGTGTCACCATGCATTATAACCAGGTGTGACGGGTGATGTTTCACATTCACACACACAGTGTATGTTACCTATATGTGTATGTAACTGTGTTTTTGTGCATATTTAGATACTGCCGGACTACCGTAAAGGTCTGCTGAATGTTCTTCCAAATGGAAAAGTGAGCGACCAACAGTTCCACCAGATCTCCAAACTGGCAGCTTTGCAGCACAGAGCCAAAGATATTATCTTCATCCCCAGCATGTAAGAAAACAGCACCAAGGAACAATGGTTCAGGTGTTATTTCTCTTCAGCCCCAACGAGGATTGTTTACAAATTTAGGTCAATTCAAAGTCTAGTATCCAATATTTTTTAAACATTTTACATGACTAAAATACGTGGGTTAAATTTACGTTAAGTTACTAGAGTCACTGTCCCTACAGGTTAACTCTCAAATGATCACATTTAATTGCATTGATGTCATGTATGCTCCGAAAAGGAAGAGCCAGCCAGCCAATAATTACAATAACCTGCTGTTGATTATATTACATTTGACTCTAATATGTTTTTAATGTATCATTTAAATTTTTAACCTTATTTGTGTGAACTCTTTAACATGTCTAGTAACAACATCTGAAATGAACTGCAATTTAATATTATGGTAATATAAATCTCTAAATGGAGATGAAATCATAGGAAATTGGATGAAATGGAACAAAAAGAAAATGAGCGACACTCTCCTGGAGCAGAAATGAAACTGTGCTGCTGGAACATTAGTAATTTCACTTTCAGTAGTTTGACAAATGCTGGCCCAGGATACACTGGCTATTTTGTTTTAGGGTCATGTTTTAGGTTTAAATTCTACACTGAAAATACTAATTTCATTTCTTGTTCTTACTGCTGTTACCACTGACTCAACCCCACACACAGTAGAGCCAGCAGCAGAACAGGACAGTGAGAGATGTTGGAAATCATTGAGTGAAGCAGTTTATCTGAGCTTCTGTTCCTCTCTCCTCCAGACATGAGTTATCAGAGTACATCGCCACACCTCTGTTCAAAAAGCAGCCACCCCAGCAGTGGGTTACCATGGTGACACAGCACATGCAGCAAGTGCAGACCCTGAACCCGCATCAGGCCAGGGCGCAGTTTCTGGGTAAGATTTCTGTTCCCATTAAGGGGAGACACTATAGATACCAAAAATTATACTCTAGGTTTTTAAACTAATGTGTAATCTGGAAAGTGAACTGCTCAGATTTTCCAAGGACAGAATTATTTATTATGCATCTGACAAACTTGGACTATTTGGATGTGAACTGTTTCTGCTAAAGTTTCAACAGCCAATGAACCCTGGTATTAAGCAGCAACACTGTCAGAGCTGCACAGGAAAAAGGCAAATGAGGTCTTTGCCTTTTTCCTCCACTTTTCTCCTCCTGAGCTACAGATAACTAGAATTACCATTGTGTGGTTGTACGCCTCTTCCAACCAGTCAAATTCACAGGTATGAGACAGAAGTGAGGTCACTGACCTTGACCTTTGACCACCAAAATCTAATCAGTTCATCTTTGATTCCAAGTGGACACAAATTGAAGAAGTTCCCTCAAGGTGTTCCGCGTTCACAAGAATGGGCCGAATGGACGGATGGACAACGTGAAAACATTATGCATCTGGCTGTGGCTATTGCCGGCACCGAGGCATAAAAATGTGACAATTTCACTCTTTAAATTCTGTGTCTTTGTGTGTGCAGGGCTGATCAGTGCATTCCCCATGTTCGGCTCCGCATTCTTTTACATCCACAGCAGCAGTTCCACCACCTTCTACGCCCCCTCTATTCTTGCTGTCAATCAACATGGTCTCCACTTCCTGCACAAAAATACACATGTAAGGAATCACACACACACACACGACTCAGCTCATTGTGACTGAAACAAAAGCCCAAAGGCAGAGTCACATAGTTTCAGTTGTGTGTTATAATGTTTGGGCTCTGTGATGCAGGAGCTGATTGCATTGGTCCCCCTGGTGGAAGTGCAGTCCAGCCGCACCCAGAGGCCCACTGCTGGGACCAGTTACCCATATGTGGACCTTACCCTAGGGGACATGAACACACAGCGGGTCATCCAACTGCAGCTAGAGCAGGTATCACGCAAACAACACAGAAGCACAGATAAGGACACACTTCAGTGGCCACGCATGAGCATTTGCAGTGGAGCTGCTGTGACAGAATGACTGTGGTGGTTGTGTTTGTCCACAGGGCCTGGAGTTGTGTCGAGTCATTGCCATGCAGGTAGAAAACATGATGTCTGTGGAGAAGAAGAGGCTCACCCTGCCACCCAGCGAAATCACCATGTTATAACATGCTTAATTGTACACACACACTCACACACACACATAGAAATGCAGAAAAACCTGTAAAAACAACCTACCTCTTGTTACCTTCAGGTATTTGTTGTGTGAAGCTCACACACTAATATGATATGTAAATCAAGTGTACCCTGAAGTCAGTCTCACTTTTGATTATTGTACTGTGATAATTGCACAAAGTGCAGCCTAGGGACAGTGATAAGTTTGTACTGATCAGTGTTTCTTTTCAGACTGACACCGTGATAACTGAACTTACTGTAATATAGTGAACAGGTTTAAATATGTTTGATCTGCATAACAGATATGGATGAAAAGTGAGGAAGGTTCACAGGCCTGTGCCTTTTCATTACAGTTTTATTATTGTTAGTAACATTTTTATATTTTTCATTACTATCGTACTGTAAAACTTGATATGGGTGTAAACTGTTGTATTCAGCCTATGTTAATGCATTTTCTTGCTTATTTTATAAACAATTTTAATATATATATTTATCAAAATAAAATAAGCTATTTTAAAAAAGAAATGAGCACTTGTGCATTGAGTAATGAACATTGTTAAAAATCAATAAATGCAGGTATCTGATATGAAGAGGTATAGGTACAAATGATTTGAAGCTAAATATTTTGACAGGTAGCAACACTATAATGCTGTAAAAATCTAAGCCACAAAACATTTTACTTAATTGACGTGTCTCCATCAGGGCTGTAAGTAACATTTTTATTTTATTTTTACAACAAATACCTAATCTTTAAAATGCCAAGTAATAGTGACAAACTGTTGAGTTTATTAAACTGATTTATTGATGTAAATTTACCTGCAGTGTTTCCCCTAACCAGTTATTTGTTTAAGCAAAAATTCCAACTTGTTCAAGTTTGTAAAACCTGAAGGCACACTATTTTGTCTAAACTGTGAAAAACCACAACTTATTCAGTTTATATTTACATTTTCTGACTAATCTTGTGTTAATAGACTCCTTTATTAGCCAAGCTCCCACCCCCAAACCTAACCCTTGAGGAAAGGAGGGCCTTAGCTGCACTAGAGAAGGATGAAAACATCACAATCCTTCCAGCGGACAAAGGCAGGTGCACAGTAGTCCTAAACTCAGCTGACTATCAGACCAGAGTTTCCGACCTCCTCAGTGACACCACCACCTATGAGGCATTGAAGAGGGACCCCACCAGTGGCTACAAGAGGAAAGTTATAGACTGTTTACAGAAGCTGGAAAAGGAGGGGGTTATCGACCGGCGACTTTACTACGGACTATACCCTGGTGAGGCCATCCCGTGCATCTATGGCCTACCTAAAATACACAAGGAAGGAGCCCCTCTCAGACCCATTGTCAGCAGCATCAACTCCGTAACTTACAACTTAGCCAAGCATGTGGCCACCATCCTGGCTCCTTTGGTGGGAGACACACAGCACCATATAATAAACTCCCAGGACTTCGCAAGGAAAGTCCAACAACTGCAGCTGGAGCAGGACGAGACCATGGTCTCATATGATGTCACTTCCTTATTCACTTGCATCCCCACCACAGAGGCTGTCAGGGCAGTGAGGAAGAGACTGCTGAAGGATGACACGTTAAACAACAGGACTAACCTCACCCCAGACCATGTATGCACTCTGCTGGAACTCTGTTTAAACACTACCTACTTCCAGTTTAGGGGGCACTTCTATAGGCAGCAACACGGCTGTGCTATGGGCTCCCCAGTGTCTCCTATAGTTGCCAACCTGTACATGGAAGAATTTGAGAAAAAAGCCCTGACTTCCTTCGCTGGCATCGCTCCCAGCCATTGGTTCCGCTACGTGGATGACACATGGGTTAAAATCAGGACCCAGGAGGTAGA